ACGGAGGGGCCAATCGACTCCCCGTTTGGTGAGTTCAATCTACCGAACAAGAGGGTTCATGCGAACCCAGTATTTGCTATTGATGTCAATGATTTATGCCTAGTTCATCTCCCGAATGAAGACCGACCGCAGGGCCAGAATGCATGGAACTCCTTTCGGCTACATGTTCGTGTGCGGTCGGTCAAATCGTTTAATGCCTGTAACTCCTGAACCCCTTGTCTGATCTGGGTGAATTTTGAGTATGTTGGTCACCCAGACCAGGGCTACCAGGGGATGCCACTTAAGTCCTGGTACCCCATGGTTTTAGGGTACATCCAAGAAACAGGGGAAAAGGTGCCAGGATTAAGTGGATTAAGTGTCACTCTGAGGGGCGGGAAAGTAGGGGAGGGAACCTCTGTATCATTGGTTACTGTTGTAATTACTGTAAATCCCTCCCTTGCATGAGAGAATCCTTTATAAGGAGCTGCTGTGAATAAATCTTTAGTTCTGCTCCTGATACTGTGTGTGGTCCAGTTATTGGGAGTGCTGTTGGGATATTGCTGTATTGTTTTGCCTGCTGGAGACTTTACCATATGGATTTATAATTACTTGTTCCTGAGCCTCACTGGGATTTACAAGTGGAGATAGGCTATGAAATACTAGCTCTCCGCTACATCGGTTGGCAGCGCTGGGATCCAGACTCACAAGGGAACAAGGACTAATGGAATACGGATGGAGAGTGATTATGCGAAGCTAAAAAGATCCACGCTAAAAGATCTCCTAGAAGCAAAAGGTATTGCAGCAAGCAACAAAAGAAAAGCAACCCACATTGCAGAGGTGATGGCAGAATATCAAAATGAGGACAGGGCAATCCCTGAGCAGCGGAGTTCAGCAGATGGATCTGAACAAGAAGAGTTCCAAAGACAGCTGCAGTTTAGGCTGTCCTTTTATGGAGAGAATCCAACGGCGGATATTATATCCAGGACAATGACAGAGGTGCAGGAGTTTATACTACGCCAAAGGCCACTACAAAATGTGGAGAGGAATGCTACGACAGCTACCTTCACACAGGGTAAGGCAAAAATACCTTACCAAGCATTTAAAACATATGTAGAAGCAGAGGAGGACATAGATTATTTTCTCCAGGATTTTGAGAGACTGTGTGCACTGCATAATATTAGTCCAGAGGAGTCGGTACCTATTTTGGCAGGGAAGCTCACTGGAAAGGCTGCTGAGGTGTATAGAACTGTACCAGTTGAGGAAATTCGGGATTACCACAGGGTAAAGGAGGTGAAATTGGCCCGGTATGCTATCACGCCAGAGGCATATCGGCGGCGATTTAGAGAGTTGAAAAAGAATGACAAGGACTCTCATGTGGAATGGGCTTGCAAGCTACATCGGGCCGCTCTTGGATGGGTACAGTCCAATAAGGCTCGGTCCATGGAGGACTTCTTACAGATGTTACTATTAGAGCAATTCTATGAGGGCATCCAGAATGATTTACAGGAATGGGTGAGAGACCGCAATCCAAAGTCCCTCACAGAAGCAGCTAAAAAGGCGGATGAGTACTTGGATGCCCGCAGACAACAAAAACCGACACCCATCAAGACAGTTATCCAACCCGTAGGGGGGAACAGCCCCTACCCCAACACCACACCGCCACCACAACAACTACCCCCTTACCCACCTGCTTTTGTACAACAAAAACCTCGACCAACTAGCTCTGTACAGTGCCACCATTGCCAACGCTGGGGACATTATAAGAGAGAATGCCCACAGCTAAAAGATCGCTCCACCTGGATCAGGCCCGGACTACCTCCACCACCTCGACAGGCGGCCCACTGCTACCAAGCAGAGGCAACAAATCCCTACGGCACAGTAATTCCTATAAACACAATGGAACAATGGGAGGTATTACATGAAGCGGATCCTGTACAAGCTAATGCAGACAACCGCCAGCATCATAGACAGACGGTGTACTTGGAGGGGAAAGCAGTCCAGGGTCTTCGCGATTCAGGGGCCACGATCACACTGGTCAAGAGTCACTTGGTACCTGACAAGGCCAAGACCAGCAGAACAGTAGCAGTCAGGGTAGCTGGGGGAGCAGTATACCGGCTACCCACAGCCCGGGTACACTTACATTGGGGAGCAGGGTTTGGGAATGTGGAGGTGGGGTTGATGCCCTAGCTGCCAGTAGAGGTTTTGTTGGGGAACGATCTGGGCAAACTGACATCTGCATTTGAACCCCAGGCCCCAACGACCGGAGAGGCCCACCCAGTGGTTACGCGACAACAGGCCCACACCCAGGACTACAACACACTCCCGGAGGTCCAGGTAAGAGATCCTTCCCCTACCTTAGAATGTATCCCTTGGGCCCCCCCTACTGAATTTGCGGCCGAAGTAGTCACTGATCCCACTTTACAGGTCTATAGAGACAAAGTCACCTCAGACCAGCCGGGAGGGGAGGGCAAAGATTTGTATGCGATAACCAGTTGCTGTATAGGGAGTTTGACAAGCAGGTAGCCGGGTCAGACCCTATTGTGATGAGGCAGCTAGTGGTATCCCAACGGTACCCAGCAGAATTACTCCACATTTAGGGGTCAGTGGTACCCGGCACCGGCTGACCCACTGTTTCTTTTGGCCGGGAGTTAGTCAGGAAATCCGCAGGTACTGCAACACGTGTGACACGTGCCAAAGAGTAGGAAAAAGAGGGGACCGGCGGAAGGCAAAATTGCACCTGCTGCCCATAATCGAGGAACCGTTCAGCAGAGTAGCGGTAGATTTAATAGGACACGTGAACATGCTGAAGCCCTACTGGGAACGTTCAGAGGAAGTAACCGCAATTTGTGCCCCCTCCAATGAAGAGTTCGACAGCCTGCCCCTCCCAGATCTACTGGGGGACGTCAGACGGTCCGGGAATTTAGGGGAAGTTACAGTGGCGTCTCTAGGGGGGCCCCTTACATCATGCTGTGCCCCCCCTTGGGCCCCTCCCAAATGCCAGCAACTAGCCATGGGCTTCAATTATATTCCCTCGGGCTGTAACAGCCTGTGACAGCCCGAGGGAATGCAGTGCTGAGGTGCTGGGGGCGGTCTGTGGCTGTAGGGAGCACTGATTGGCTCCTCAGCCCAGGCCCCGCCCCCAAACGAAGCTCCGCCTCCCGCACATAAGCCCCGTCCCCGCCATAAAGCAGCAGACCATGCTGCTGCAGAAGATGGCTGCCTGACCTCCAGCAACAGATTCCAGTGACAGGTAGGCTGGGGGGGGTGTTCACACACTCTACACACACATACTGCCCCCCCCATACACACACATTGCCCCCCATACACACACACTGCCCCCCATACACACACACTGCTCCCCCATACACACAAACTCTACACACATACACTATCCCCATACACACACACTGCTCCCCATACACTGCCGCCCCATACACACA